ATTTTTATTTTTTTAATTTTTATTTTATTTATTTTTTTGGGGGTGGGAGGAAGTTGAGACAGGATTTCTCTGTGTTGCCCTGGCTGTCCTCATAGAACTCTGAGAGATCTACCTGCTTCTGCCTCCCCAAGTGCTGGGTTTACAGGTGTGTGCCACTGCGCCCAACAACATGGAGATTTGATGGAGCACTCCATATCAGAAGGCCTTCAGCTAGTTTCAGTGCAGGCAACACAGCTGTGTACTGTGTCACTAAGAATCTGAATTACAGGGGCCAGGGAGGTAGCTCAGAGGTTAAGAGTATTGGCTGCTCTTTCAGAAGACCCAGTTTGAGCCCCAGCACCCACATAGCAAGCAGCTCATGGTCAACTACAACTCCAGTTCCAAGAGACCCAGCGCCCTCTTCTGGCCTCCAAAGAGCACCAAGCACGACATGAAGATGGTACAGACAGGTACGCAGGCGAAACACTCATGCACATAAAATAAATTTTGAAAATCCAAAAAGAAACCATCTGAATTAGAGTAGGCACAGTAGCACACACCTTCAATTTTAGCACTGAGGATGCAGAGGTAGGCAGATCTCTGTTAGTTCTAGGCCAGGGAGGGTGAGACCCTGTCTCTCATCATCATCATCATCAGGAGCAGCAGCATGCGCACCACCACCACCACCTTCTAGAGGATGAGGAATGTAGCACCTCATGCTCTGACCACCAACTCAGCCTGAGGACCTCTGCAGAATGCAAGTCCTGGGTGTAGGGTCTTGTGGCCCCATCTCTCCTCTCTCTCATTCCTAGATATCACTATCAATCATGTGACAGGGCTTTCAAAACAAAGCCCTCCAAAGATAGTGAGCCTGGTCCGCTTTCAGAAACAGGAAGAGGAGTAACTCTGGGGTCAGGAGTGCAAGAAGAGAGATGGTAAAAAATACTCAGCAGCAATTTATCACATCCCAGGGGAAACTCGGGACTAGAACTTGGGAAGGGAAGTTTCTCAATTACAGGGAATAAAATAATCCCAGGATAAAGGGCTGAAATAAGAATGCACTGGAGGAGAGGTAGGCAAGAAGGAGAGAGAAGAGCCTTAGGAAAGATGGTGGCTTACAGCAGGTGCAGTAGCCAAGGAACCGGTTAAGCCTTGCAGGGTTCGCTTTGACCAAGCGAGGTGTGGCGGGAGTGTGGATTGTGGGTGCAGGAGTCAGGTAGTGGAGAAAACTGTCAGAACAGGCAAAGCACTGCTGTGCCAGCAAGGCAGTCACCCTGCCACCAAGATGCTAAAGAAACAAAAAAGGGTTTTGTTTCACTGAGTACAGAGTGAAAAGTAAGTTCACCCAAATATTAAGAATTCCTGAAAATAATGTACATCACACTCAGGCCTCTGAGGAAATCATACCTGTGTGAGTACCCTCTCGGGGGGATAATGGGGCAGACACGCATGAAAGGACAAACCTCCAAGTGTGCAGAAAAAGATGGGTAGAGTGACTCTAAAAAATTGAGAATGTAATAAAATGTAACTAATAATAATAAACAATAAAAAAAACCTGAGAATGGTTTAAATGTCCACAAAAAAGAAAAAAAAAAGACATTTGTATAGCCTTTGCACAATTAGACAGAGACCCAGAGAATAAGCTGAAAGTGGGCATGTGGACATGGAAAGGGTTTCATAACACTGCCAAGCAGTAGGAGAGTGAGAGCAGCACACACTGAAACCCACACCATGCGTTCTAAGTACTTGTGTGCCCATATGGAGGGAGAAGCGGGTGCACGCCACGCTGCAGCGGCTGCTGCCTTTGCTGGGAAGACTGTCCAACTGAGGAGGAGCCGGCAGGAGAGTGCCCACTCTCTACTTGGTCTTTGAAACTGTTTGAGTTTTACAAACATGTAGCGGTTTTAAGACATAGTATTTCTGTCCAATAAAAGATGAAAAAGTATGTGAACATATTTGATTCTGTTTATCTTTCCAAAGAATTTAAACAGGTATAGAACTTATCAAAATTTTACAATTAAAAAAGTAAACGTTTGCTGGGTATAAAGGCACACATGTCATCCCAGAAGTTGCGTGGCTGAGGTAGAAGGATCAAGAGTTCTAGGCCAGCCTCGGCTACACAGCAAGACCTTGCCCCTGCCCAAATAAGTCATTAATAAATTATTTTATAGTTGAAAAAAAAAGGAGGCTGGGAACGCTGCTCAGCGGTACTGTGCTTGCCTAGCACGTGTGAGGTCCTAAGTTCAATTCCCAGTGCTAGAAGGGTCCTTCTTCCCCGCACCAAGTCCTTATCCCATTTTCATGTCTTCCGCCCCCACCACCCAAGACAGGGTCTCTCTGTGTAGCCTTGGCTGTGCTGATTCACTTTGTAGACCAGGCTGGCCTCGAACACAGAGATCTGCCTGCCTCTGTTTCCCTGAGTGATGGGATTACAAGTGTGTGCCACAGCAACAGTGTCTTTTTGCTTTGTTTTTGCAAAGCACTTTTTAAATTCTAAAATACAAAGTGACAATGTGAATTTTCTCTTTAGTAAAAGATAATTTAGACCAGTGTTTCCTATTAAGAAACAATTTGGCAACCCAGCAAATAGTTGTCAGTGTCTGAAGATCTTTCTGATTGTCTCAAACGGGAGTGGAGACAGGTGGGGGGTGCTGCCAGCGTCTAGTGGACAGCGCTCAGGGACGTGGCAGCACATCCTTCAATAGGACAGGCCCCATAAGAAAGTACTGTTCAACCCAAATGTCAATACTGCAAGTCAAGAAACCCTGCTCTGCCTCTGAAACTTCGGTACTACTGTAAATATGAAGAAGGACCTCAAAAGTCAAAAACAATACGGGTGAAGCGGTGCAGTTCAGTGGGCACAAGGCCCCCGGTTCTCCGTCCACCATTCTGCCGAAGAGTAAGCACGGAAGGCGTTATTTTACAAGTAAGTTAAGAATATGGACTTGTAGTCTAAGAATTCACGTTTCGAACCTACTGACCAATTCTGTGGCTCCATCCGAGTTACTCAGTTTCCTCACATATGTAATTCTAAGTAAACATGAGGCTTTTAGGATTGCCGTGAACACTGTTCAGCTGAGTCCCAGTGCTTTGCCCTCTGTCTGCTACACGCCATCGCACACAGGCACCGGGCTTTGTTACTTCTGTCTTTAACCCCAATCAGGGTCCCATCACAGAGAGGTAAATTGGAATAAGGTCTGCATATTGTGAAATGGACACATTAAGCAAAACTGTCACACGACACAGAGTTAATACAGGGATTAAATATTTAAACCACTCCAGCCACAAGTTCTCCTCATTTTAAGAATAAAAACTTATTATTCCTTTTTATTCCTTTTAACATATAAAACCACTCTCTCCTATAATTATAAGAAAAGTGACCAAGAGAGACAGCAAAGGCAGAGAGAGGATCTCGATTCCCCGAACGGCTGTTCTAGGCTGCCTCCCCCTGCTGTGATGACACACCATGACCAAACGTGGGAAGGACAGGGTCTGTTTGGTCTGCACATCCCAATCACAGTTCTTCACTGAGGGAGGTGAAGGCAGGAGCTTGGAGGCAGGGACTGACACAGAGACCATGGAGGAAGGCTGCATGTTTAGCTGCCTTTCTTATACCTCACAGACCACCGGCCCAGGGTGGTACCATCTACCCTGGGCTGGGCCTTTTTACATCAATCATTAAGAAAACGCTCCAGAGACTTGCCAGGCTCAGAGGCATCGCCTTTTTTTTTCTTTTTAATGTGCTTATTTATTCACTTTACATCCTGACTGCAGCCCACCTCCACTCCTTCCAGCTCCCCTCACATGTCCCCTCCTCCCAGTCTCCCTCTCCTTCTCCTCAGGGAAGGGAGAGGTACCAACCCGCCCTGGCACATTAAGTCGCTGCAGAACTAGAGGCATCCTCTCCCACTGAGGCCAGACAAGGTGGCCTGGTTAGGGGAACAAGATCCAAAAGGAGGCATCAGGGTCAGAGAGGGATCCCCCTCCAGCTTTTGCGCCATCCACATAAAGACCAAGCTGCACATCTGCTACATAGGTGCAGGGGTCCTAGCAGGGGTCCTAGGACAGTGGTTCAAACTCTGTGAGACCCCACTGTTAGCATACAGGCAGTCTTACTAGCCTCACACAGGTGGTCCCCCTAGCCTGCCTTTCAGGGTCCTCACAACTTCTGATAAAAGGACTCCACCAGCCTTCTCAGTGCGCACAATCTCTCTCTCTCTCCTCAGCTTCTCTGTCTCTTTCTCTCTCTGTCAGGGGCACCCTCCTCTCTCCCCCCTCTCCTTTTACTACAATAAACCGCCTTTATACCAAATACATTGCATGGAGAAAAAATAATTATTGTAACCCATAGCCTAGGTTAGTTGACTCCGTAGGTCTTCTTGTGGAGTCCTTGACCCCTCCACCTCAATCATTCCCCCAACTCTCCCACAGGACTCCCGTGGCTCTGTCTAATGTTTAGCTGTGGGTCTCTGCATCTGTTTCCACCAGCTGCTGGGTGAAGCCTCTCAGAGGAGTTAGGCTAGGCTCCTGTCTGCAAGCATAGCAGAGAAACATTAATAGTGTCAGGGGTTGGCTCTCTCCTGTGGGGTAGGTCTCCAGTAGGGCCAGTCTTTGGTTGGCCATTCCCTCAATCTTTGCTCCATCTTTGTCCCTGCACATCTTGTAGGCAGGACAAATTTTGGGTGAAAGGTTTTGTGGGTGGGCTGGTGTCCTTCTCCCTCTGCAGAAGTCCTGCCTCGCTATAGGAGGTGGCCACTTCAGGCTCCATATCCCTGCTCTTAGGGTGACTCCCATAGACTTCCTGGGGCCTCTCCTAACCCAAGTTTCTGGCAAATCCCAGAGGTGACCCCCATCTCCGATTTCCATTCTCTCACCCTCACCCTGTGCCCCTCCCTACTCCTAATCCCCACAGAGGGGGGCACCTCCTTAACTGAGGATTCCTCCTCCAGATAACCCTAGCCTGTGTCGAAAACAAAAACAAGAGCACAAGCATGAATCCAGACATTCTGAAAGAGACCTACTTTGGTGGTGATCCTATACGTGATATAGGTCTCCATTGTACAGACGTGCTTCTTGGGATCATCAACCGTGACAAAGAGATCCCTGGTCTCACCGTCAATGTCGTCATCAAGCTGAAGTCTGTTCAGAAGGGAAGATGAAGAAGCTGGGCTCGAAGTGCCTGCTGGAGTACCGCCGTTGGGCAAAATGAGATCCTGGAAGAAAAGAAGAACAGCCTTACAAACCACATGAATGGAGAACCTCATCAACCGCAGCTGCAGCCATGCTGAGACCCTCAGCAACGCCTTCCCAAACACCAGCGCTTCTCTTCCTCCATCTACTGTGAATGACCATGTCGGGAGGAACTCTGGCAGGAACTGAAGCAGAGGCCACGGAGGAATGCTGCTTTCTGCCTTGCTCTCCACGGCTTGCACAGCTGCTTTCTGATACACCGGTTACATGCCAAGGGTGAAACCTCCCACAGTGGGCTTGGCCCTCTCACGTCACTCGTTAATCAATACAAGGCCCCACAGACTTGCCCAGAGGTTCATCTTCCCAGATGACACTACCTTATGTTAAGTTGATAAAAAAGCCAACCAGCACCTTGGCCCATAATATAATCTGCCCTCTTTTGTGAAATTTTAAATTTTAAATTCCAGATTTTAAAAAGATTAAAGAGACGGTCAAAGGGAGAAATGTCAGGGAAAGACGGAGGGAGGGAGGGAGGGAGGGAGGAAGGAAGGAAAACAACAGTTCTCATTCTCTTTCCACCTTAGGATGAAGGCCTAAAGCTACCTGAAGAATTTGTTGCAAATATAATATTTTTAAAAGGCTGTGGTGATCTGAATGAAAATGGCTCCCATAGGCTCATAGGAAGTGACACTATTAGGAGATATGGCCTTGTTGGAAAAAATGTGTCACTAGAGATGAGGTTTGGGGTTTCAAATGCTTAAGCCAGGCCCAATCTCTCTCTCTCTCTCTCTCTCTCTCTTCCTCTCTCCCTCTCTTTCCTGGCTGCTAATGCAGCTGTAAAACTCTTAGCTACCTCTCCAGTACCATGTCTATCTGCATGACACCATGCTTCCTGCCATGACTATGACTGACTAAACCCTCTGAACTGTAAGCCATGCCCAATATCAAATGTTTCCTGTATAAGATTTGCCATGGTCATGGTATCTCTTCCCAGCAACAGAAACCTTAACTAAGACAGAGGCCCAACCTCATAGTTCCTGTTGTGTCAGGACTGATAATGGAACAGAGGCCTCTCTAGCAGAAGTTGGGAAGACTCCTGAATGTAAGTTACCTCAGGTATCATTGGAAGACAAAACCTAAGAATGTGAGCAGGGCATGGTGGCACACGACTTTAATCTCAGCACTCAGGAGGCAGAGGCAGGAGGATCTCTGGGAGTTTGAGGCCAGCCTGTTCTACAAAGCAAGTCCAGGACAGTCAAGGCTACACACAGAGAAGCCCTGCCTCCAAAAATAAAACAAAACAAATAAACAAACAAAAAAAAGACTAAGAATGTGGAAAGAAAGTGACGGGACACCAATGGAAAGCCACTGGTGACCCCAGATCATAGGGTGGGGCCAAGGAAGAGCTCCGAGAGCTGTGACTCGTCCCCTAGAAGGCACCTCAGCAGTCATATCCATGAGCTACAGCTGAGCGGAGGAGACTCCAAAGAAGAAAGCCAAGACAAGGCGATGAAAGCATAGCCAAGGTCAAGAGAAATGTCGCCCTACCAGGTGGGTGGCAGAAAGCCCACAGAAGCCCTCCCTTGCCTCCCACCTGCACAGACCACAAGTCATTTAGTCCCATGCTTAAGGCAGGGTCAAAAAGAAAAGGTGGCACACGCTTGGCATGGTAGTGCACGCCTTCAATCTTGGCACTTGGAAGGCTGATGCAGGTGGCTCTTCTGTGAGTTCAAGGCTAGCTTGGCCTAGAGAGCGAGTTCCAGGACAGCCAGGACTATATAATAGAGAGCTGCCTCAAAAAAAGTCTCTGCGGCTATTAACAGGGTGCCATCTTTACAGAAGGTGCTCATGGGAGCATACTCCCAAGTCCGCACTCAGCTACACTTCCAACTACGGGGCCACATGAGAAGCCATCATCTGGGGACCGGGTCCCCGTAGCTGCTCTGGCGTAGATATGAAGGCAAGCCACTACAACAGCAGCTAGTGGCCCCCTGGCCTTCCCAGAATGCCGGTGCCACAGGGCAAGCATGGACGGTCACTATCGGCGTCTGAAAGGCTGGCAGGAGACATCGTCTCTGGACATCTCTGACAGTCATAGAGTCACTGCCCTTTCAGTAAAATGTTAAACATGGACTACAGGCAAGTCACCTTGTTAGACTCATAAGGGCCCACCTTTCCATTTGTCAACACTAGAGCACTGGCCTTAGAACAGCTTCGTCAGTGGCTAACCACTGCACAAAAGAAAGAAAGAAGAGTTCTGTTTGATCTAGCCTGGCCAAGTCTGGAAGCTGTTATACACTGTGTCTCTAAGATCCACGCCCGCTAATACAGATGTGTCCAAATATGTCAGAGCTCCCTTTGAGTCTTCCCACTCTTTCCCACACTTGGAAGGCACCTTCACCGACACAACTATCAACGTTAATCATTGATCTAGGGCTGAATAGACAGCTCAGTGGTTAAGGGCTCAGTGGTTCAGTTCCCAGAACCCACCTGGGGGCCCGTAACTATCTATAATTCTAGTTCCAAGGGATCCAAAGTCCTCTCATGGCATCTGCAAATTCCACACACACATGTGATGCACATACATACATGTAGACAAAAAATTCACACATAAAAGTGGACATTTTAAATCACTGTAACCTGACTTATCCACAAACAATGGCTTCTCCCTGTGTGTTCATGTGTGCATGTGTGTGCAATGTGCTAGTGTAATTATCTATCTGCTATCTCTTCCCTGCTCTCCAGGGACTCTATGCCAACTGTCCTAGGCTTTGCCCTAGGGACCTCAACCAGTAACCTTCAGGAATAGCCACATAAAATCTGAAATGCCGTGAATATAGGAAGGGGGATTCAGGCAACCAGATCTGGTGAGACCCTTCCCTTCTGGGCCTGCACGGCCAGGGCACAGTCTCTCATTCCAGGTGGCCCCTGCAGCCGGTGGGTGTACAGGAATGACCGAGGAACCTCAAGTGCCTGAGGACTCTGTAACAATGAGGCCACTGCTGTGACACACCCATGACAGCCTTGCAAGAGCAGCAAGCCAGCTGCGACCTCTCTCCGTGAGGACACAGACGGAAAAGATGACCTACCTTGCCCTAGTGTTTGCTATGCCAACACTTGAGCCCATGTTCCTTACCAAGCTCAATCCCTTCATGGAATTTTTCCAGCCCCTTTGCTATTCTTCCTCTCCATTTTCTGGTTATAAATTCTTCTAGGTAAACACGAATCTTCTGTTTTTAAAGCCAGTCATGTAAAGCAAATATTTTTCCCCCTCAGGGTCATAAGTTTATCACAAAATGATTCTTAAAACACCTTTGTGTGAGAAATAAACTCAGTATGAAAACACGAAGATCTTAGGGTTGATAAGCAAGGGTTGGGTGAGCTGAAGGGCCCAGGCCCAGCAGAGGCCTCGGCAGTAGAGTTTGCTGTGTGTGACCTGGGCTCTCAAGTAAGCATCTCATGGTGGCAGCACCACCTATGACCAGCATGAGTGCAGACACTGGAGCAGGTATCCTTAGGTTAAGTATCATCAATTGGTTCTCCACACCACAGCTAGGGTACTTCCAAAAAATACTCTAAATCCAAGGCTAGAGACATGGCTCAGCAGAGGGCACCCACAAAGGGTGGCTCACAACCGTCTGTGACTCCAGCACTAAGGAACCTGACACCCTCTTCTGGCATCCTCAGACACCTGCACTCATGTGCACTGACTCAGACACAGACACAAACATATGTATATAATTAAAAATAAGTAAGTAGCTAGACATTTGGTGGCACATGCCTTTAATCCCAGCACTTGGGAGGCAGAGGCAGGCAGATCTCTGTGAGTTCAAGGCCAGCCTGGTCTAAGAGCAAGTTCCAGGACAGCCAGGCTGTTACACAAAGAAACACTTGTCTCGAAAAACCAAAAATAAATAAATAAACAAAGTAACAAACAAATAAATAAATAGAGCAAGTTCCAAGACAACTAGGAATATATAATGAGATCCTGGCTAAAAAAGAAAAAGTTTTAAAAATATAAACTGAAATATGTTGCTTCCTTGCATAAAATTCTCAAAACCATCCCATTACACAAGTCTAAACCCCCTTCTATAGAGCGGGCACTGCTGACCTTACCTTCCCCTCCTCCTCTCCACTTCTCTCCCTGGCTCCTCCTCTCTGTGTCACTGCCTTCTGGCTGGCTCTGGCTCGCGGTGACCCCAGGGCCTTTGTGCTCCTGCTCTCTCTCCCAGAAGATCGCTCTCTCCCAGCTCTCGATGTGACTACTCCCTCTCTTCATACAGGCCACAGCTCAAATGACACCCACCTGAGACACCGTCTCCATCCAATAAAATCTAAAACTAGCCCTGCAATCTTCCACCACTCTTCAGCTCCTTCTCCAGCTTCACTTTCTTCACAGGATTCTCATTATTTGAACTTTCTTGCATGTTCACTGATTTGACTGTCTGACACTCTACTCACCTGTGAATTCCATGAAAGCAGAGAGCGTGCCATAGGGGGTATTCAAAAGAGGTGATGAGTCTTAGAAATGACCCAACAAAAGATGCCTGGTAGACACGTGGGACGTGAGACAGACAGAAAGTGAGAACACCTCCAAGGGTAACCTCCCAGGTGTTTTGCCACTCAAAACACCTGACTCCCCAGCAGCAACACTCTATCTTAGTCCTCTCATTTACAACAAGGGCACAGCGCAGTACTGAGCAAGTCAGCATGGGGGGAACTGGAGAGTGTGTGTGAGCAGGGCAAACACGGGAAGATGCCATGTCACTCTTCAGTTTGTTTAACAACAACAAAAAACAAAGTTGATTTGTCTGTTAAGTACCTTTACATTTTGTTATAAACTGGGGCAGGGTTTACCATGGGCACATCGGTATTACTGAAAAGAAAAATCACAACAGGGCATAGCTGCTACCTCAAATTTATTTTCTTACTGGTTTTATTGTGCCAAAAGCTATGTAGACTAGCCCTTGTAGTAACTATGCTGGCAAATACATAACACAATCATTGCTGTGAAATGTCAACT